TTCTCTTCTCAGACATCAAGAGGAACAATAGGTTGGCTGAGTAGTCTCCCATATGAGTTAGATTCCTCAACACAGACCAGAATCTAAGAAAGACGATCAAACAGAGACACATGAAAGAAGGTGGTTTAAGAATTTAAGAGATCCTGGCTTCATCCAAAAACTGATTCTGCAGGATACATGTGCTACCCAGTGGTAGGCCACTATCTCCCCCTATTGGAGATACACCGGTTTTACTGGAGAACTTGATCAAATAATGTGCAGCAGACCTTAATAAACTAATATATTGCCTTTAAACTGTAGATTAGTTTATAGATTGCAATTTGCAGCAGCCACACTGAAGTGTGAAGAGGTGGTTGCAAGAGTGTAGCTGCTATAGATTTAATAAATAAATGAATTTTAGCATGCACCAGTTTAAAGCAAAGTAAACCCCTATATATCAGGCATGCCAGATGCTTATTTGAATTCCAGCCCATGCCTCAGTAACCCTTGAAGCACTAGCATAAGAGGCTCTCATGAGAGCCAGGTGGGAGAAGTGCTGCAGGCCTCCAACCTTTCTCTAACACTAAATAGATGACTTCAGTTCAGGTTAGGGGCGGAGAACTGTTCCGAATAGTTAATGTTTCCTGCAAATATGTGGAAGTCTAAGAAGGGGTCCTCTGACTTTTTCTCTCGTCTGAAGTGTTTTGTTTTTATTCCACTGTTACTTTGCAAAAAGGGACATGTGGTTCATGAGGATACTTCATGTATGAACCATGATGCAAAAACACCAAGAGGGTATAACAGTTTCAGGTCTGCATTAATGATTCATTATAATATTTCCTGCTAGAGGCATCAAGCACTAACATGCCAGGGTTAGGATATTATCTCATGTACATTAAAAAAGAACCTCATGTACTAATTTAACACTACAATAAACAGTATTTTGATTGTTGTTAGGAAAAAGCAATAGAGAGAGACACTCTGGCTTATCAAATCTCTAAACGTCCAATATTATGCCTCAGATAAGCTTTCTCTTTTCAGCATTAAACTTCATAGACTTGGCGGTATGCATGTGCATGCACTGCGTGGACACACGATGTCTTCTTGCACAGGGTCGCCGCCTCAGGTCTCGACAGAGAAAGTGGAAGGAGACGTCCTGCCAGCCACCATCACACCCCCTCACCCAGCAGTGAGCTGATTACATTTAGCTATAGCCTCTAGCTCATTTCCTACTAAACTCCACATCTCGACAAAAAAAGAGCCCCAAACTACAATGAGCCGGAGCTCTCGGAGGTTAGAGGGTGATGCAGCCTGATGGAAAAATCAATAATGACCCATGGGATCAGCAGGCGACAGGACCTGATGTAGACTTGGAATTTTTTTTTTAACATAGGAGTCAGCTACCATGAATAAGCTTTAAACAGCAAATCCGAAACTGCCCATTAAACTCCAAGATAAGCATGTTACACTATAATTAAGTCACAACAAATTCTAATAATTTCCCCCTTTGGCGAATTGCAAAATATATGATCCCGAGCGCGTTTTTTATAAAGATAGATTATGTGTTTGCATTGAAAGTATCTACCAAACTCTAACCTGTTAACTGGCCATCAGTTTAGCATCTAAAGTTTAATGTGTAGGCCAAAAACAGCTGGGGATTGTGGAGCATGCAGAACTAGATAAACAGCCACAGTAGGGTCACCAAGAAATACTGACCACACTGACCAGCAGAGGACAGTCTCATCCTACATGGTTTAAGGAACTCAAAGTGGGAGTCTGTTCTCTGCAACATTATTCCTCAAGTTGTCATGTGTTATTTTTCTAATAAAGTATCTACTACTGTACGAGTAGCACCTGGCACATATATTCAGCTTCACATGTTAGTGTGATACTTGACCTTGGTTAACCTTTTATTCACTGTAATTAGTATCAGTAGTTTGCAGTCAATCAGTGGGAACATTCCTGAAAAAAAGTGCTGGTGTACGTTTTTAAGTGATGAGCACATCAAATAAAATCAAACGCACACCACTGCATAGACTGAATCCATCATTCCTTTGGAAGTTGCTCGAGCGCTCTTTAAAAAAATAATCTAAGACTATCGAGATAATTTAAGGAAAGTTGATGCCTGAAAAAAATCTTCCACTTCCTTTGATTAAGAAAGATTTTCATTCTAGATATTTGAAACTTTCAGTGAAGCACGGCATCAAGGAGAAAGAAAGAAGATGGAAACAGTGCTGATAGCTACTGAACCTTTATGTCCACGGATATAGGTATATGAGTTTTAATTTGACAACACTGATTGATTTTGGATCTGTGAAACATCCTAGATTTATGATTAATATATTTACAAAAAGTTAAATAACATATGTGCCGCGTGGTGGTATTATCTAATTACAAAGGTTATTCATTTCCGTATACCTGCTCAGGGAGTAAGAGGCTGTACAAATACAAATACAGATACCAAGTCTTATACTGTACACTGAATAATCATTTAAAGAAATTCTGAACTGTTGATGTTTGACTGAGGCCTTTAGAGTCTGGTTTAGCATCCAATAGCCTTTCAATCCCACAAACCAAATCCCCCTCAAGTATCACAACAACAGAAGTGAGGAGATGTTCTCAACTTGTTTTTTGTGGCTGAATCTACCTTTGAAGGGGACAACTGGAGAAAATGCTGAGTAAGTGCATGTGGAAAAACTACTAAAACAAAAAAAGCAGGTTAGGAAAAAATAACTTACCAAGCAGGTAATGCAAACTCAAAATGTCTCACCAAGGCTGTGCAGGAGGGGTAAGTGAACCAAAAAACAGTCTGCATCTTTGGGTAAGATACTGTACTCCGAGTTGTCCCAATGCATCCATCAGACTGTTATTGTCCGTGTGAATGATAGACAAAGTGCTTAAGTGTAGAAAAAAGTTAGTATAGAAAAACACTATGGAAGCACCAGTCCATTCATTTATTATGGACCTCAGTTGTGTAAACGTAGCATATGTGTTGTGCATACAGCACATAGAGCCGCCTCAGGACGTGTGTGGACAATCAGCAGAAAAATATTCTGTGAAAACATCTTTTATCCTTGTAAAGATTTGTTGTTGCTTTTGCGACAAACTTCTTTTAGTCATATTCAATTTGGATTCTTTTCATTGCAGGTGTTACCAGAAAGAATGTAATGCTTTATAAGAAACCGTAAAGTAAAACCTCACAAAATATTCAGGTGGAGAAACCTTAGAATTCAAAGATACTTTTGGAAACAACAAAACACTTAGACATACTTTCAAAGTGTTAAAGGTTTCACTCTGACAGGATTCAACTGTGAGGATGACTTCACGATGAAGACAGTTTTTCACCAGAATGTGTGAACTACATGCACTCAATTAAAAGTGATTACAGTGTGACTCCATAATAATCTACTATTGTCCTCTTCTTGTGGCACAGCTCAATGTTGCATTTTAAGACTTACATTTAGATTAATGAAGTCTCAAATATCTCAAATGAACTGACATTTTTCATCAGTATTTCTTTTCACGAGGGAGTTATAGTTATTTCTTGCTCTTCAATTTCTGCGCTCTTAGCTACTGCAGCAGATCATTTTATCCACAGGAGAATTTCAAGTTTTGTGCCATCTTGAGTATTTTTTGAAACGCTGCTGTTCTTGTGCATACTCCACTCCTTGAGCATCTCAGTTTCCAGTGGCTACATGAGTCAACACAGACTTATGAGCCAAGAGTGTTCTCCAAAGATACTTTAACAAACAGGGAGAAAACAGAGTGAGAGACAGAGGGAGGTGGGGGGGGGGAGGAAGTTGGAGAAAAGAAAATCAAGAGTAAGACCACAAGCAGGATCTCTAGAGTGCCTCTAGTGACTCTGTGTTCCCAGCACTATCACAGATAAAGAGAGGAAGGGTGAGAGAGACAGAGAGGGAGAGCGTGGCGAAGACTCGGAAGAATAAGGGTCAGTACAGGGTTTGTCTTTGAAAGGAGAGGAGCAATTTCTGGATGTGTGAGAGGGATCTGTGCATGTGTTTTGTTTGCTCATACTAATAGTTACGGCCATTCTTTCACCGTGTGCACAGAGGACATATCAAAAATAAGCCACCGCCATGAGCCGGACCACCTTCTTTGAGGTAAGCCAATGCACAGTTTTACTGCTACTTGAATAAATGACACGGGCAACTGCCACTTCCTGATAGAGTGAGTTACTGAAAGGCACTTGACCAAGGGACTCTACAGAGTGATAAGAGGTGCAGCCAAATTTGGGGAAAACTTAACAAGGCTGAAAATATTACATGTTGTTCTAAAGGGATCGGAAAGTTTATAAAGTCCAAGTTTATTTTCCAGATAAGCTCAAAGCTGGAGGTGTTTTTATGATTTTTCTGTAGCCTTCAGTTTTGGCTTAAGGGCCTGACAAGCTTTAATGAAGAAGCAGACAAGTAATTTGCTGTAAGTGCAGCAGGCCTATGAACTCGAGCTAATTACAACATGCTCTGGGAAGTGTGCCATGCTTTCAGAAGCTGTTATCGAAATCACAGTGGAAAATATGGAAATAGTTAAGCTTCCAGTCTTTACAGTAAGACAGCCAGAAAATCCACCTTCACACTGATTGAACAGTTTTAAAAATGGAACTGATCCTCTACTTCTGATATATAAGAAAAAAAGGAGGTTTTGCAGGATGGAAGCACATTTGCCGTAATGTTTAACTTTCCTTTAACTTCAGGCTGCCTTGAGATTGGCACTACAATATTTAAGAGAGTATCTTTACCTTGATGCCTTGGAGGCTTTTCAGACGTACTTCATCCTTCACTCATGAAACGTCATCTTCAACTTCATGAAACAGCCATTTAAGTAGTGGACTGCAATTTGTGTCTATTTGTGTGTAGTGTATAGGGTCAGACACACGTGAAAAATTTAAGACAAACTAAGAGGTGAATCGATTACTGTCCTTGACTGAAAGACAAACTCTGTCTAGTCTGTCTATCTTATAAAACGAAACAGGGCCCTGAGCACTAGCAGCATGTCTGTTTAATCAGTGGAGGTATGGAGATGTCTAGGAGAGAGGGCAGTGAATCTAGAGAAAGCAGGTGATAGGGTCCCAGGAGAGGAACTGTGGTACTGCATGAGGAAATTAAAAGTAAGTGAGGGTCATGCAGGACATTTATGAAGACAGCGAGATAGTGGGGAGGTGTGCGCTAGGAGTGACAGATGGGTTCAAAGTGAAACTGGCTCTGAGCCCCTTCTTGTTTGCACTGGTGACGGACAGGCTGACAGATGAGGTCAGTCTTTGTCTGTGTCTGTGGAGTCTGTGGACTGTGATGTCTGCCGGTCACATTATGATCTGTAGTGAGATTATGGGGCAGGTGGAAACGAGTCTGAAGAGATGGAGGTATACACTGAAGAGAAGAGGAATTAAAGTCAGTAGAAGCAAGACAGAATACATATTTTTGAATGGGAGGGAGACAGTTCACAACAACAGTAGCCTTGAATTGAACTAAATTGAACAGTGAAGCTATGAAGAGTAGAGGTGGTGAAAGGTTAATGAGTTTAAATACCAGCCATCCAAAACAACACACAGTGCACATGAGAGGTGAAGGAGACCGTGCAGGTGAGGTGGAGCGGGTGGTGACAAGTATGAGGAGTGATTTGTAGCAGAAGGGTGGCAGCAAGAGTGAAAGGGAAGGTATAAAGATGCTGGTGAAACCTGCTATGATATATTGTTTGGAGATGGCCGCACTAACAAAAAGAAAGGAGGCTAAGTTGGAAGTGCCAGAGATTATTAGATTTGTGATTAGAAAGGAAAATATTAGCACGACAGCTCAGGCTGAGCGGTTTGGAAACAAAGTTAGAGAAGGACATGCAGAGGAGGGATAGTGGATATACTGGACAAAGGGTGTTGAATATGGAGCTGCGAGGCAGGAGGAAAAGAGGAAGACCACAGATTCAGGGATGAAGGAAGACATGCAGAGGGCTGGATGTAACAGAGCAGATGGAGGAGGGTAGGGTGGAGATGAGCAAATGTGGGGACCCCTAAAGGGAAGAGCTAGAAGACGAAGAAGATTATGGATGAGAGTTTTCTCCAGTTTTATCAGTTAGTTATATTAGTCCAAAAACAATATATTTTTGAAAAAAATTAAAAAAGCTGGCAAGCTCAGTTTCTCAGATTTTACCCAGCAAACATAAAATAAGTGTTTGTTTAAACATTTACTTAAATTTCCCCTGCATCCCCAAGGCCTCTGCAAGCATGTGCATGTTCTGTACAACCTGTGCTGTCAGCACTGCCGCCCGCACAGGAGGACAGGAAATCCTAATGATCGGTTTTACAAAGGCATGGCACATCTGAGTGCACAGTGTGCAGCCCAACGACACCGTGATGCTCTTTACCAGCATGCTAATACATCAGCTTGTGCCACCACAACGCAGCTGGGAAAGCTGGCAGATGGAAAGCAAAACAATCCCATCTCCCATGATGCGCTTTGCTGAGACATGAACATGATTTGATTCCAGATCCCGCAAGCATCCTCACACATCGCAAAGAGTGAAAGGATGAAATAATCATTTTATATATGGAACACTGAGGTTTGCAGCTAAACTTTTTACTTAAACCTCTGTATGAATTAAATGTCCTATAAAACTTCATTCACTATATCCAAAGAGGCTGATGGCTTTTATGTTGAGCTTTTCCTCATCCTCATTCCCTCTTTTGTGACTGTGCACTCAGCAAATCTTCAGATACCCATTAGTGGGTTATTACACTGTCCAGTAAAGGAACCTATTTAGCAAGGACAGCTCTGCTGAGCAGCACAGTATAGAGTGCTTTCAGAGCAAATTGTGGGCCCACCCACCTACCCTCCTTGCATATGCTATACATCACCGCTGACATGGTCTAATTAAGATGAAAACAAATGTGTGCAAGAAAGCATATCACTAAGGACAAATGGACACACTTTGCAGTAGGTATTTTAGGAGCAGACGTGACCACATTTTATTTGAGGCGTTTATATTTTAATCAAATTGTGTTTTTACAGTGATGATTACATGTGCAATAATGTCTACCTTACAGCTGCAAGAAAGCAATACATAACTAAAAATAGCAATAGACTTTAATCTTGTGCTACTGTGATCAACAAAGCTGGAAAGAAATCTTAAATCTGGCGTTTACTCTGTGGGTTATATACATTATAAAGGTGCCTCATTTTCTTTCTTCAGGTGGAAGTTCTTGATGCCAAGACAAGGGAGCAGCTTTGTTTTCTAGACAAGGTATGCTGACATTTTAACACAATTCATACGTCTTAAGTTTATAATTATGAATAAATAAGGACATGAAAATGACTTTTCAATCTCACTGACACACAGTGCTTTGTATTTAGTGCTTGAGTCTGACATAAAGTTGAGTTTATAATAACTGTAAACTTTCTGTTGCATTAAGGTGGAGCCCCACTCGACAGTAGGAGACATAAAGAGCCTTTTTCACAAATCATGTGAGTGCCTATAATAGTAATGTAGCGCAAAAATGAGCCTGTTTAGATTTGTTAGAAGCACATGTGGCTGTAATTTTGTTAGTCTTGCTGTTACCTAGAACCCTGTCAATAAATAGAACAAGACTTGAGTTATACTATAATTCAATAAAACACAGAAGATCAGTACTCCCAGTTCTTTATTATCTTTCACTGCATGTTTACTGTAAACAAATCCTTCAACTTGTGGTTGTTGGATAAAAAAAACATTATTACACTATCTCTGAATGAAAAATCTTACAGTTCCTCCTATTAAATCTCTTCACCAGAGAGCTGTCCTTCTAAAAAACTATTTTTTATTTACTTCTCTGAAGCCCACAGTGCTTCTGTCATCAGCATGTGTCTGGTCAGAAACGTTACCAAATGTCTGCTGAGCCCAAGGCCATCGGCATCTATCAGAGTAGCAGAGCTCAACGTTATTCCATTGTGATCAATTATTTTTGGGCCTGAGGCCAAAAAACTGTGTGTGCGGTACCAGCTATGTCCAACACTGCGACTGTGTTTGTGTGTGCATACGTGCTCGTTTGATCGGCACAGATCCTCACTGGTATCCAGCAAGACAGGCCCTGAAGCTTGATCCAAGTAAGTGGCTGTGATGTAAATATAGCATTTAGTGTGTGTGTGTGTGTGTGTGTGT